GTCTGTGGCAGCGCAGTCCTAGTGGAGAATTAACCCTTTCCAATCCCTTCAGGTTTTCTCTCTTTCAGCCTTAGAGTGTGGCGAAGTGGGGAGCGACTTTGCCAGCAATAACTCTCCCGTTTCCCACACTGACTTCTGGGGATCGGATCTGCTCCGGGTCTGACGGCTGACGCCACTCTGCCCCTCAGATGACAGTGGGCATGACAGAGCTCCTGTACCTTCTCCTCCTGCTGGAAGCTCCCGCTGTAGTGGCCGCGCCCACCGTGGGCCTTTCTGCTTGAATGCTCTCTCTGTGGATGGCCCACAGTGGGGTCAGGTGGCCTAGAGCACACAGGGAGGCCACCTGCACTGGGCTTGGGCCAGGCCCAGGAGGCCCACAGCTGGACAGAGGCTGGGCACGGGGAGAGCGGAGGGTGGTGCTGGTTCAGAGTGTCAGCAGCCCAGGGGTGGGTGGGAGGCTGCTGTGCAGATGAGCTCCTGCTTCTGATTGTGCTCCATGAACTGGAGGCACAAGAGCCCACGGGTCGAGTGGACAGAACAGGGTGGCTCCGGGACAGACGTGGTCTTGCTTTTGGCACGAGCTCTTCTTTGATCCTTTGGGTGAGATGCATGGCCTTCTACCGGGATCTGCGCACGTCCACGGCTGCACTTTCAGGAGCTGTGTGTCGCTGTCATGGCCAGGCCAACACTCAGGGCGACGTGTCTTCTCTGTGGTCTCGTCTCCTGTCCACCGAGGCCACTGTCACAGGGGAAGACATTGTCAGGACGGTGCTCAAACACAAGAGACTTGCCAACACAAAGGAGTTCACTTGGGGTTTGTGGTGGGCTCTCTGTCTCTGCTGCAGGCTGGGCTCAAGTTGTGCATGCCTTTCCCGAGGTCAGGCACTGGACAGAGACCCAGCTGACTCACAAGCACACGGAAAGCCTCTGCTTGCACAAGCAGTGCTTTTGCTCACACCCAACCCCCTCCGCCTGCTCACATCAAGCTCAGGCCCTTCCTGTGCAGGGCAGGGGGAGCACATGGGTCCACCACTCCACTCCTCTCAGCTCTGTCTTCCACGGAAGGTGTCAGAGGCAGTAAGTGGCACAGAGAGACCTTGGACTCGCAGCATCTGTGCATGGAGACAGCGCTCACGCCCCGTGAGGCGAGCGTCGTCCTGGCAACCACGATGCCGGGAGCTGTGTGCTCACAGCTTGTTCCAGTGTGGGCTACAGAGACACTGGATTCTCACTGATGCTGCGGGGAGGAAAAGAGGGAGCCACTTCTGGCGCTGCACCTGTTCAGTCCCGTGCTAGTCCTGGGTCACATCTCTCGAGCCCTTCTTGGTCTAATCAGGGACAAACCCATAAAGAAGAACAACGAATGGAGTTTAGCATGCAGTCCAGGTCCTTGGCTGGCCAAGAAGAGGCACAGGTGGCTCTGGCTGTGTGGCCCCAGGGCCATAGCCACCGGTTGTCACTGCGGCTGCCTTTGGACTGTGACTTGAGTGTGGCCGTCTGGGGTTGAGGAGGTCTGAGCCCCAGAGCCGTAGGATTCTGTGACTACTGGTCTCCACACGGGTAGGGTGGCTTCCACAGGCACAAACCCAGGGGCTGCCTGGTCTTCCGCGGTTCTCACCAGGCTCCCTGTGCTCCTGAGCAGGTTGGGAGACACCCATGGTCACTGTGCACCCCTCCTGGGTCTTTCTGACCCAGAGAGCCTCCTGCCAGCACCCATGCCTGTCCTTAGGCCTGAGCGCGGCTCCCACAGGGTCTGGGCCTCGCAGGTCACTGCTCTGGACGGAGGCGACAAACCCTCTGGCCTGTTCTCATGGTCAGCAATGGCGCTGCCAGCGGGATTGGGGGTGTAGTTCATGCTTACCAGGGACTGGTGTGCAGCTCCCCAAGCACAGTGGCCCTCACTAACCTGACCTGTGCATCCACGAGACACTGGACCCTGGGCTCAGGAGCCAGCCTTCCGCCTCAGCCCCCGTAGAGAGTCTCCTGAGGAGGGGTCCAGGTCCCCATCCAGCCTTTCCTCTGTACCACTCGAGCCACCCTGAGGAAGCCACAGAGCCTGGCCACGGCGTGGTTTTCCATCTACAGCACAGGACAGCAGCAGCGCCTCTCCAGGCTTGCTCCCCACTGTGAAGACGGGGAGGGGCGCGTGGAGCCCGGGGGTGCTGACGGCCGTAACGTGGACTGGGCATGACCCAACAGCGTGTTAACAAAGGGGCTTCTGCTCTCTATTTCAGGTGCGAGATGGCTGCCCAGGGTCTGCCAACCCATGCCCCAGCTCACCATGCCCACCAAGCTTTTCAGATGTTCTACAACCACGCCTGTTCAGGAGCTCTCGCTGAGGACAGTGGGCTGGGAAGCTGAGGAGGGGGCCGCCTGCCCTCCTGGAGATGGGCCGGGCACCCCCGGTCCCCATTCTGCAGGCCTGCCAGCTGCTTCCTGGGGAGAGTTAGCCTCCACCAAGTGAGTCTGCGTTACCCCGGAGCCTCACACCCCTGTCCACAGAAGGACACGTCCCCTGCTTCATTTCCTCCAGTCCAGGGCTCATGCTCGGCCGGGCTCTGATGTTGATGAATACCCATTCGCAGCCCAATTAAAAATGACTGCCAGCGTGCGGCCTTGGGAGACGGAGAGGAGGCTGGCGCAGCCTCGGGCGCTGACAAGCGGATGTCTTGACGAGCTCCACGTCTGGTGGGGGTCGGCGCGGCCCACGGCTCCCGCATTTCTGCAGGAGGCCCTGCGGGGAGCAGTGTGTCCTTCCTGACAGGTCTGTGCAGTGCAGCTTCCTCCTCTGAGTCCCGAATCGGACCTCAGAGGGCTTTCCTGTTCCCCACACAGGGCTTGTCATCGAGGCCTGAGGCTGTCCTTCAGTCCCCAGCTGCGGGTCTAACTGCGAAGCCTCTGTGCTCTGCAGCTGCCCTTGGCCCTTACTGAGCACCTGCGGGCTGGGCCACCACCCAGACACTGGACAAAAGGAGTGGTCCCTGAGCTCCAGGAGATGGCCAAATGCACAGCATGTCCCTGTGCAGAGCAGGACATGTGCCCTGTGAGGCCCACACAGAAGAGCCAAGTGCAGGTCCAGGGCGGAAGGGTGAAGGGCTGAGGCCTTTCAGGAGCAGAGGCTCAGCCTTCCTTGGAAGACTGAGCCTGGTTTTCTGTGGAGACTTTTGGGGGGGGAGGAGTAACCCTCGGGTGGGAGGCGGCCAGCGGCCGAGCAGGGGAACAGCTGGAGCAAGCGTTCCTCTGCGTCCAGGCAGCGGCCAGGATGTGCAGAGTGGAGGGGGAGCTCGGTGGGAGGACCCAGCCACCTGTCAACAGAGCGAGGCCCGTGGTCCCCAGAGTAGAGGAGGGGCCTCTGAGCCCCCCGGCCTGGGCAGGGCGACGGCGGCCAGCGAGGCTCTGCGTGGCAGGCTCCATCTCCCTCCCTGTGGGTACAGAAAACAGACGCCGCTGTCTTGGCTGACAAGGAGGAGCCTGCTCTGTGGCTTCTGTCACACTGTGACTGTCACTCACCCCCTGCCATGTGAGGGGCCCTCTCTATGCAGAGCCTTCCCCCAGGAGGAGTGGGCTGCATCTCGACGACCGCCAGTCCCAGGTCACATGTGAAGTCCTGACACTCAGCCTGGAGGCTACTTGTTGGTTCACGGCCCCTGGGGGCCTCCCCGTCCAAGCTCACGGTGTGTCGTGACCACCCTCTCGGGAGCCAGGAGCTGTTTGTGCAAAGAGCTCTCTGTTTCGCGTCGGGACCGTCAGTGAGAAGCCCGTGCTTTGGTTAGCAGATTGGGGTTTGGGTCTGGGGTCCTTCTTAAGCCCATTTTCTTCAGACATCAGCAAACAGGAGCTCTGCTCTCTCGTTAATGGGCAGTGGACCGGCCCAGCCGCCTGTGGGTGAGATCCCACCGAGTTGGCCAGAGTCCTCGGTCCTGTCAGGGTGCCTCCTGGGTGCTGCCCTTGTTCTCTGGCCCAAGTGAGGTCATCTCAACCCAACACTGCTCTGTGCCTCTCTCCAAACCCCGAAAGTTCTCTTCTTCTTTTAGGTGATACGGGGTGGGGGGGACCCCGGGCTCACACTTGCTAGCCAAGGGCTGTGCCACTGAGCGGACCCCAGCCCTGCTGACAGACCCTGAGCTCCGGTGCAACCTCTGGGCACCCAGGAGGGTTCTGGACCTCCCGCGGGACGGAGCCCAGTCCCCCCTCTGTCAAGATCTTCTAAGATCTTCCATTTCTTCATTTATTTCTGATTTTTAAAAAAACGAGGTGGAAAACTGGTTCATGGTGTGGTTGACAGAAAGCAGGTTATCAGTCATGTTCAGATAGGCCTCCCCCAGCTCCTTCACTTACGAGATGCTATCGCCTAAATAAGGTCGTCCCTGTTGGGAGATTAGGTGGGCACTCCAGGTCAGCAGAGGAGGCTGTCTGCAAACCCAGGAGCCAGCACAGGGACGGGGTGGGTCAGAACCCCGTGGAAGCCCAGAGTGGTGGGAGGCAGATTCCCTCCTGGTCGCCACGGGGGCCTCTGCGGCTCCTGCTCGGCCGCCTCCCGGGGCTCCCTGCTCCGCTGGTGGAGTTGCAGCTGATCAGTGGGAAGCTCCGCTGGGTCAGTGGCTCTGCTCTTGGTCTGAAAGTCGCCGTCCCACTGAGGCCCAGAGGACTGCCTTTCTTGTGACATTGTCCATTTAGCCTCTGTAACTTAAAGCTAGGACAGTGAGGTCACAGGCCTCTCCTCCCTGCGTCCTGCGGGGTGTCCGTCAGCCCCTGAGCAGGAGGTGAGCTGTGTGTCGCGTGCCCATGGCCTCCACCCCAGGCCTTGGACTCTCCTGTTTCCAAGCTGCCTTAGGGCCAGGGCACTGCCTTGCAGCCATCTCAGCCAGGGTCCTTGTCCCGCCCCTGACCCTGGAGGCTTGGCTTCCCAGGGGGTGAGGGCTGGGCTGCACCTGAGGCCAGGGTGTGGCGTTGCCCCTGGGTAGATGGTGCAGTCTTGCACAGTATTTATATTTATGTGCTTTCCGGAGCCTGTTGCTTACACTACCCAATTTCTTTGTAAAGATCTGCTTTTCTTTTTAAAATCATCCTTTTAGAGAGGGGCCTTCTCAGAACCTCCCGGGCCCCAGTTTCGATGCTCTTTGCTGTGGGTCAACCTAACCCAGACGCCACTTATCACTCAACACAGAGCAGCCCAGCATGTGCTCAGCTGGAGCCCAGGCTCCCGGCTCCGCCGCCTTGTTGACAGTTCTGTGCCGTGCAGAGCGTGAGTCCTGCAGAGGAGGTCTGCTCACTGTGTTCAACCAAGAGGACCCCGTTGAGTGCCAGGCGCCCTGCCTGCCTCTGGCCCGGGCTCTGCCACACACCATGTTCTGACTCCGCGTGGGCTGCCTAATTTAATCCCGGCCTCCTCATCTATAAAATGGAGATCACAATTCCTATGTGGCTGGGTTGTCATGGAGACTTAGCTTCCTCTCGCCTGTCAATCACAAAGCAGGGCTGCCAGGGGTCCCTCCCAGGCAAAGCTTCTGCTCAGCCTCTGACAGGGAGTCTTCCAGGCCAGAGCCAGGGCGGCACTCCGGACACCTGGTCTCCACTGCACCACCTCCCAGACCGGTCCTCTCGGCCTCACAAGGGTTCTCTGGATCTCTCGTCCAGTTATCAGTGATCTGCGAGGGAATCAGGGGGCGCAGTTACAGAAGCCTGCTTGATTATAATTCAGTGGGCATCTTGAGAAATGAAGTGTTTGGTAGGTCTGAGAATTGTCAGGGGAAAAAAAGCATTTCCTCACCATTGTTGAAAATCCTTATAAAATACTTACAATTGCAGTAATAAAAATAGCCAACACAAAGTGGTACTTATCATATACCAGGCTAAATGCTGGGTACTAAATGCTGTGGATGCAGTATTTAATTTCTTTTTCAAGGGTATTTTTCTCTCCTTTTTCTATACAAGAAAGCTGAAGTCTGAGGACTCCAAGAGGCTGGCCCGGCCCAGGGACTGTCCTGGGCCCCGCCCTCCTCCTCATTCTTGGGCTTTCTGATGGTTCAGCTACTTGCTTTTCTTAGGGTTTGTTTTGTTTTACAGTTTTCTATTTAATTTGCTGGAATTTAATTCTTGGTATGAAATGGAACAAAAACTGCATTTTGAGGTTTTTCCATTTAGACAATTCTTTCAATGCCATTGAATAAATCCATCTTTTCCCTATTATTTCATGATTCTTTATCTTTTTTTTCATATTAAATTCTTAATTCTACTAGATTCTGGTTTTTTTCCCATCTATTCCTGGAACATCATTGTTTTTCCTTAAAAAAGCCGTACCCCCTTTCCATCTTAGTTGAAGGTCGCAGGTGGGTGGGTTTTTGTGTAAATGTGGGGGATCAAACCCACTTATGAAGCCTCAGCTCCATCCCAGGTCTCCCACTGTGGGGACCTCTGCTGACCACTGAAGTGCAATCGCTGGGGGAAAAGAAATCCCCAGTCTTGTGATTCTGGTTTTGTGATTCTCCGTGTACATGACAGTTAGAGCTTGAGAAATGGCTTCCATATACGTGCCTGAACGGCCCCAAGATATGGCTTCCGCAAACACCAAGAATAACTCCCCAGCAACGGGGCACACATACCTATTGGGGTATTGTTTCTGTAACTGGGGTAACGGCGCTCTGTTTCTGTAACTGATTGGCCTCTACCTTTGTCCCCCCTCCTTCTCCTCTCTCTGTATAAGTCCTCTTCCTCCACAATAAACTGAGTTGCTGTGCCATCTTGGCTGACTCAACTCCCGACTTGGTGTGATTTTTGCCAGGCTGGGTGGCGGGCCGGGTCGCGACACTTACCCTCTCGCTCAGCCCGGAGACACTCACTAGCTGGTCTAGTGATTCTCCACACCCTCTGACGGAGGCCGGTCCGACATCCCACCATATGATGTATGTGACCCTGGAGTCGTGAGGTTCCGGTGCTGATGACCATCTCATTTAAAAGGGACAGCATCTCTGGGTGGGTACGGTAAGCACAGAGGAGGCCAGGGTGACTCATTGCCCAAGGTCACTCAACTGAGAAGAGCCAAGTCTGGAGCCAGGCGTGGTGCTCCAAGTCACAGCCCCAGGCCATAGCTCCACCCTTACGCCTGGAGATGGAGGGACCCCTGCAGAGCTGCAGCAGACCCAAGGCTCCCCTCCCCAAAGGAAACGCGGCTCCTCCTGCAGCCTTCCCCTCTCTGCACCGTCTGAGTTGCGCCAATTTCCTGTGACTCTCAATTTCAGATTCACCCACCGCGGCTGCGTCTACCTCCCCTGTATTCCAAGTCGCAGGCTTTCCTCCTCTCCAGAGCTGCCTCCTCCTCGGGCCACCACTCGACCTCTCAGCTGTGTCTGACCCCAGCAGCTTCCACCTGGGGCCAGGAGACCTGCTGCAGAGCCGCAGGCAGAAGGGTCTCAGCCCCTCAGGGTGTCAGCCCCTCAGGGACCAAGTCCTCTTCCTAGAGCGGGGCTCCTGGAGGTCTCTAGCCCTCCGGGTGTTCCCAGGGACCCTCCCACTGGCCATCCCCTGTGGCCAGGGCCCAGAGGACCCGTTCTCAAATCTTAGCTCGAGAGAGAGCCTTCTCTGCACTCGAGTCTCTGCCTCGTGGTCCTTAATGGACCAGTCGGTGGGGTGACTTGTGGGCTGTCTTCGCCCCTCTCCCACCCCCGTTCCCTGGCCTGTCCTGATGGCAAACCCTGTTGCCCTGTCCACCTCTGCACGCCAGCAGCTGGCGGTGGAGCGTGAGCCACAGGGAGCTCTCGGTGGGCCCTGGCTTCTCCCAGGGCTCTTTTGCTGCCTGTGTGAGGGGGTGGCTGCTGCTCGTCTCCTGCGCTTGCTGCGTCTGCCCGTGTCTTCCCCACGGCTCACCTGCCCGAGGAGCCCATAACAAGTGCACCCAGGGTCTGCAGGCTGGAGTGGCTGGTCTGCCCGCTGCGTGGGAGCCTGGCCTCACGCTTCCTGTCACCTCCTGTTCACCTGAGACGTTTGGCTTGTGACTGGAAAATGTCCCCCAGCTTCCTTTGGGAAGGGCCTTGGTGGGCAGGGATTTGATGTTGTGGTTTCTTGTCTGTACAGGCCAGAATCCTGGGTGGCTGAGTCTGCAAACTCCAAAGTAGCTCTGTGGATTTGAGAAACCCCACAGCCTGGGTTGGCCCAACAGACTCTGGTCATGTGCTGCAGGTTTCTGAGAAATGCTAATGAAATTAAATGAGTTCATCTTGGCTTCCGGGTAACTGGGCCCCCCGGCTGAACACGGTGGTCTGATGAACAGAGCTTTAGGCCTACAGTTACACTGCACCTGAAGCCTCGCGACTGGCCAAGTGTGCAGAGACATTTGCTTGTTTGGGTTTTCTCCTTAGATGCTCAGTAGTGAAGGAGGCACTTCATTAGCACAACCCAATCTTCACTCCCACACAAGGTTCCCACAAACCCACTCTGCCTGGTGCACTGCCCCTTCCTCTCCGTTCCCACCCTGGCAGCGGGTGGCTGGGAGCGTGAAGGCTTCAGAAATCCAGAAAAAGATGAGTAGAGCCATTGTTTTATCCAAATGCAATCTGAGACAGGAGAGGGCCAGACCATGCCAAGCGGTCCTGGGGAGGGTGACTCCAGTCAGGGAGGGTCAGCGCCGTCCTCAGCCTTCCCAGTTTGCTTTCCTGAGGGGAGAGTGACGGGGACCATGACGACGCTAGTGTTCCCTAAGCGTTTGCCCTTCTAAGCCCCTTGGCTGTGCTGACTCATTTCGTGCCTCCTTTACAGGTGAGACAACAGACACAAGGTCACACTGTGAGTGCCCGTCAGAGCCTGGAGCCCGAGTCCTGTCTCTGGGGTGTGCCGCGTCAACCAGGCTTGCTTGCCTCTGCCCACAGGGGTCACTGACAGCTTCTGGAAGGGGGTGCGAGCTGACCCACAGTCCAGCGCTTGCCACCACACACTCGTTCCTCCTCTGGGCCTCCCAAGCGAGGGCAGACTGCTCGCCCTGCACGTGCTGAGCTTGTGCTGAGCTGCCCCTGGGAGATGCAGGTGTCAGGGAGAGTCCTGGGAGGCCTTGCTGGTCCGGGAGAGCCTCCAGCCAGGAGAGCAGAGATTACGAGGGGCCAAGGGCCGGGCAGTGTTGGGATGAGTGCAGCTGCAGGCAGAGCAGTCTAGGGAGCCCAGGTGGCGATGGCATGTGTGAGGTGGACATGGGCTGCCTGTCCCACTTGGAGCCCTGTGCCCTCACACCTCCCGATGGCTGGGTCTTGGTGCAGCCCCCCCCCTTGGTGACCCCCCTCTCCACAGCCAGATCTGGCTCCAGCTGTTTGGGAGCTGCGCTGGGGCCCTGGCACCTGCTGTTCCTGCTCTGGGTAGGCTGAAGTTCTGTGAGGTTTGGTCACTCACTGGGGTAGGAGTGTGGGGCACCACCCCTGGCACCCGGCCTTGGGGGGAC